GGGGGTACCTGATAGAGACAAATATTATCACGATGTTTATGATGTATATATATGTATATGTGATATTCAAGTTGATCAGATATGAAGATGCTGAGTTTGTTTTAAATGAGTTTTACTCTTGTTTTGTTTCATATAAAACATTGAGAATTGTATTTAGTTGATGTGGGTCGTATATAATGTGACATTTAGATAAAGTCTTTTCTAAAACAGAGCTGAGATGTGTAAATGTGACTCTGACGACGATTTATTCTGAGCTGTGTCATCGTGCTGTCGGTAGGTGCTGGGGAAGTACCACCCAGACGTCGCCAAGCAGCTGAACAACTTGGCGCTGCTGTGTCAGAACCAGGGCAAGTACGACGAGGTGGAGTACTACTACAGACGAGCCCTGGAGATCTACGAGTCCAAACTGGGAGCCGACGACCCGAACGTGGCCAAGACCAAAAATAATCTGGTGAGGGTCATTATTGCGATACTGCATCATAAAACGACAGCTTCCAGATTCTTATATCTTTATATTCAAATGTGGTCTTCAAATCAACACAACGTTGTGTCCATGTTGTCCTCAGGCCACGTGCTACCTGAAGCAAGGGAAGTTCAAAGATGCAGAGTCTCTGTACAAGGAGATCCTGACCCGGGCTCACGAGAAAGAGTTTGGATCTGTCAACAGTGAGTCGAGCTGTCAATCATCCTGGTCACAGTCGTATTAAAGCGACACTACGTAACAGCAACAGTCCGTCAGGGAGGGAAGGAGGAAACTTTCTCCTTGTCTCCATAAGTTTTGAAAACCTGCACGTAAAAGCATGCAAGAAATAAAAGAGGAAAGAATTGAGTTCATTGCGAGATCAAGACAAATATTTAGATATTGAAAACAAAGCAAAATCACCCAAATCAGAGAATTCTGATGTGGTTCATCTTTAGTGTTTTCCTCCCCTGACAGCTGCTTTGTTTCTGGATTCAGGTTTAGATCTGATCCCTCTCGTCTGGCTCAGTTCTACCAGCCGGTCAGGGGATTATTTCGTTCCACTGAAGCATGCGAAGCAGCTTAATGCTGATGTTTTCCTTCCTGATGCCGCTTAGCCCATCAAACCCTTATACGCTCACATGAACGAGCAGCAGCCCTGGCAGGAATTTGGCATTGGGCACGGGTTTGGTGCAAAGCGGCCACGTGGTCACATGACACCACGTGGTCAGAGAGGTATCACTTTGAAATGTGGGTCAGTGCAGGGATCCTCGTTGTTTCCTGGTCAGGTCTTTGGGTTGGTTCCTGCCGCACCCGATGTTCACATGTATGTGTTCATGTATGTTTAAAAACCCTCGTGTAACTTTCCTCTCGTCGGTTCCTCTGCAGATGACAACAAGCCAATCTGGATGCACGCAGAGGAGAGAGAGGAGAGCAAGGTCAGTTACTCTCCTGATTCCATTAGCTGGCAGACAGCCTGCTGTGAATTATGGTCTGGACGGTGAAATAAGAGGAGAGATGACAACAGGGGCATTTTTAATAGAGCTAATGTTTCCGTCTCCCTTCATCAGGGTAAACGCAAGGACTCCGGCCCGTATGTCGAGTACGGGAGCTGGTATAAAGCCTGCAAGGTGGACAGGTGAGTCCGTCAGGATGAAGAATGTCAATAAAACATTAAATGTTTGAGCATTTATATGTTCAAATGACTTTTTACCCATTTGCAAAAGTGAGTCATTCAATTCAATATGACGGAACAAAGAAAGAGTTTCAGTGATTTAAAGAAAAAAGACCAGCAAGGAACTTTGGTTTACGTTTGGGTATCTGTGTACTACTGTATGAGGTGTACTGCAGAGAGTATACAGTGTATGAGGTGTACTGCAGTAGAGTATACAGTGTATGAGGTGTACTGCAGTAGAGTATACAGTGT